AACATCAGAATTCTATTTTACAGATAAGGAAACTGCTGCAAAGAAATGTTAAACAGCTTGCCTAAGGTCACACAGCTAGGAGTGGAAGAGCTGGACTTTTCTTGGGTCTGTCTGACTCCAGAGCTGGAGTTCTTACCCACTGTGCTCCCCAGCCTCTCTATTATCATGTGGACGGGATACTTAGAGAATAAGCATTGGTACTCACCCTTGAGAGGACTATAGGCCAACGGGAGATAAGGCTTGTCTGCATCAATCACTACAACTTCTGGTCACAGAGGCTACACACAGCCTGCGTGGTACAGGCAGTTTGAACCAGTCGTGTTCAAAGGAGGAAGAGACTTTCCATTTTGGATCTCCCCCTTAGTAGAATTGGCCCATGTGTGGTCCCAGGGTGACATGAGGAACACAAACCAGTTCAGCTTAAAAGCCTTAGGGCAGGCACTATATGGCACCATTAAGCCCAGCTCAAAGGAACCAACTTTAACAAAGATTCATATAGGTCTTCCACATTGTAACATTCCATACAATCCCTTCCCAGTTTAGCCACCTGCTTGGCACCATAATAACATACTTACACAATAAACAAGAAGCATGTTTTCGAAAGAGACAAAAGAAACAAGAGCTTACAGGTCATCTGAACGTGGTGATCAATTTTGCAGAACCAAACATCAGGATTTATGGTCTCACAAATTCCTACGTACTCATAGGAACAATGGAAGAGGATATTTAAATCAGGACTGTCCTCGAAAATGAGAACTGTATGGGGATATCTGGCTGTCATAAACCTAGGTCACTATAAACACACATCATTTGCTTCTCTTGGAAGAGGAGAATGGCTCCTAAGACTTTGAAAAAATAAACACTGGCGGGTGTTGTTTTTTTCCAGGGTGTTGATTATGAGAAGAGTTACCAAATACCTGAGGTCTATAGTATACGCCAAAGATTGCAAAGGAGGAGCCAGCATTTCACACTAAGTGTGAATTACATCCTTTTAGCAAACACGAGCACCCTCAGTATTCAGTATATATGTTACCAAAACCAAAGCGAGTTCCCTCCTGGCGAGTTAAGTCAGACTCTCCACCAGAAGGAGTTGTCTCACAAAGTAAAGTATATTTGAGACCACGAGGGATCATTTCCAGAGTCATGGCGTCCCAAACAAAAGGAAGCAGGGACTTTAATTTCAGATGGGGAATGAATATTCAAAAGGGAGAGATGGGGTCCCCGGCCCTGTGGCCGAGTGGTTAAGTTCACAGGCTCCGCTTCAGTGGCCCAGGGTTTTGCCAGTTCAGATCCTGGGCAAGGATATGGCACTGCTCATCAGGCCATGCTGAGGCGGCATCCTACATAGCACAACAAGAGGGAGAGATGGGTATTTGCTTGCACAGGCTCAGTTGGAAAACATGCTTCCACATACACTGCAGTTATGGTAATGAGGACTAAGCTCCTCCTGGAGAGAGTTTAGCATTAAAAATAAGGCAAAGGTCACAGGCGTAGCTCTCCTGGTGAGTCTGGGTCTGGTTCCGGGTGGTTGGTGATTGCATCTCCTTAACATAACAAAAGGAACAAGAACAATTTGGAAAAACAGTTAAAATATCCAAACCCAGCCTTGAGTTTCTGGGGTAACTAGTCGGTGACATATAGACCCTTCAAATCTTAGTCCCAGACTACTTTTCTAGTCCTCCTCCCCGCTCCTCCCTCTCTGCCTCAACTAGACTAATGCCATGCCTGGGATTCTGTAGGGACTTAACTAATATTTGCTGAGAGAAAGAATGAATGAATGAACAAATGAAATGGTAAATACAATCATAGCTTAAATGGACTCCTGTTATCTCCCTCCTCCCTTCCTTGGAATCCTACTCTAAAGACAAGATCTGATAAACTCAGAGCGAAGTGTCATTCAACTTGACGACGAGAAGCTTCTAACCAATCTAGAGCAGTGGTTTTCCACCCTGAGTGCACATTAGAGTCACTCAGAGCTTTCGAAAAACACCAATGCCAGGGTCCCCCTCCCAGAAAATCTGATATAGTTGAACTGGAGTGAGGCCAGCCCTGGCGCTTTTTCTGACATGCAGACAGGGTTAACCACTTCTGGTACAATCCAACCTGCTCGGAGGTCCAGAGAGTGGATGTCACTTCTCCACAGCCAGAGAACTGGTAGGTGACAGAGGCAGGATATGAACTCAGCATCACTGAGTTACTCTAGCCTCTATCACTCTTTATCTCATGACATTCTTCCTTCTGTCTTACACTTCTCAGACTTCATTCTATACTTCATTCTACTCTCATTCATATATTCATTTAACAAATAGTTATTAAGCACCTACCTTGTGCCAGGTGCCAGGTATACACGGCAGTGAGCAAAACAGCCAGTTTCCTCTCACCTTGGCCTCAGCAGGAAGAGCCCATAAACCTGGAGCCCTTTCTCAATCTGGATCATCTGTCCCCATTAGTTTGTGAGTTTCCCGGGAGTCGAAGCCATGAGTTATTCATCTTCAGAGCTTCAAGGCTTAGCGCATTGCCTGGCACAGGGGGCAGATTTGATAAAAGTTTGAACAGTGGATTTGTTTGAATTGATTTGTTTGAATAAACAAACAAATGCTGTGATTCCTGAATCCTCTTACATGGAATAAACAAAACAGAAAAACATCAAGAAGACCGCTTGTATTAGTCAAGACTTTCTCAATTTTATGTCATAGAAATCCAACCTAAATTTTCTGGGGCAAAAGAGAGTATTTATTTGCTCCTAACTGGCAACGGTAAGTGTACAGAATTCCAGAACTCAAACCATGTCAGTAGGGCTCTCGTCTCAGCTGCCAGCTCAGTTTGTGTTATCTTGGCTTCATTTTTAATTCAGGGCCTCTCCACATGGGGCAAGATGGTCCCCCAGTATTCCCAGACCCGTGTCCTCTGATTTTAGCAATCCCAACAATGGCCACATATCATTTCCAGGGAAGAGTCTGAGGACCCTGTCTGCCCCTCCCTGAACCAAACACTTTGGCTGGTGAAGAGGGTACTCTGATTGGTTAGCCTGGCTCGGAAGCCCACCCTGGGGCAGTCAGCAGGGTGAGGTACTCACCAAGAATATACAAAATTGGCAAGGAGTCCCTCTTAGGAACCAGAAGAAGGAGATAAAGTGTGCCGGACTCCCATGGTCTTCTATATCTTTCCATCTTTCTTTTTTTTTTTTTTTTTTAAAGATTTTATTTTTTTTCCTTTTTCTCCCCAAAGCCCTTCGGTACATAGTTGTATATTCTTCGTTGTGGGTCCTTCTAGTTGTGGCATGTGGGATGCCGCCTCAGCATGGTTTGATGAGCAGTGCCATGTCCGCACCCAGGATTCAAACCAACAAAACACTGGCCCGCCTGCAGCGGAGCGCGTGAACTTAACCACTTGGCCACGGGGCCAGCCCCTCTTTCCATCTTTCTGCTCTGCCATCCTTACTTGGCTTGATGGCTTTTGTCCTCATCCGTGTAACTTCATGGAAACAAGATAGGTGCCAGAGATGTAAACTTTAGATGTTTTCATGGCAGGAAGAAAGAGGGAGGCACAGCCCTAGCCTTATCTGTCACTTTTATCAGAAAAGTGAAACTTTCCCAGAAACACCCCAAGGAGACTTCCTATAAACAAACACATGGACAAAGAGAACAGTTCAGTGGTTACCAGGGGAAGGGGGGGGGGGGGGGCACAGGGGGTAAAGGGGAGCACTTACATGGGGACGGACTAGAAATAACGTACGACTGAAACTTCACGATGATGTAAACTATTATGAACTCAATAAAAAATAAGAAAAAGAGGAAGCAGACTTCTTTAAACATCACTGGCCAGCACTGGATCACACTGCTAACCCCCAGCTGCAAAGAAGGCTAGGAAATCTAGTTTTAACAAACTAGAATAGAATTTTGAGACTAGTTAGGACTAAAACTAATTCTTCCCCACCCTGAACACCTCCCCCCAGGGTTAATCACTCTTGCTCTAAAGTGCGCATAGCATCCTGGGCCTCCCTTATCAAAATGACAGACATATGCACTGTATAGCAATTGCTTGTTTTTCCAGCCACCACCTCTTGCTAGGATTTCTAAAGAGGTGTCCATATCTATCTGGTTCATAGTTGTATCCCCAGCACCAGGATTTCTTTTTTTTTTTAATTAATTAATTCTTTTGAGGAAGATTAGCCCTGAGCTAACATCTGCTACCAATCCTCCTCCTTTTGCTGAGGAAGACTGGCCCTGAGCTAACATCCATGCCCATCTTCCTCTACTTTATATGTGGGACGCCTACCACAGCATGGCTTGCCAAGCGGTGCCATGTCCACACCTGGGATCCGGGCTGGCAAACCCCAAGCTACCCAAGCGGAAAGTGGGAACTTAACCACTGCACCTCTGGGCTGGCCCCTAGGATTTCTAAAGCGGTCTCCGTATCTATCTGGTTCATAGTTGTATCCCCAGGGCTCAGCAGTGTCCAGCTTCACTCCACCAATGTTCTCTGAGTATCTACCACGTGCCAAGCCCCGTGCAGATAAGTAGGCTCTCAGTGAACTCTTCTTGGATGGACAAATGTGTGAGTGGGTGGGTGGACAGTGGATGAACAGATACACGGATGGATGGTGGATGGGTAGATGGTAGTGTATGGGTAGATGGTGGAAGGATACTATCACCGTCCAATGGTTCCACCCAGAGCAGCGTGAGGCTCCCTTGTCCCCCTCTTCTCACGGTTCTCACTCCAGGCTGTCATTTCACTTTTCTAAAAGCCTTCTCCGTTGAAAGAACCATTAGATGTTCCCTCTTGGTCCTCCAGCAACAGCTAGTACTTTCCTTCTCTCCTGCCACCCAGCATCCAGCTGAGTCTTGAATCAATACCGGTAAACTGGGTGTGAACAGAAGGAGACTGCTCATTATTTGCCATTATTCACCTCTGAGTGTGTGCATTCCCACTGCTTCCCATTCTCTCTAGCTCTCGCTCTCGCTCTCTTTCGCTCTCTCACTTGCTCTCACGCTCGCTCTCTCTCTTTCGCTCTCACGCTCGCTCTCTTGCTCGCTCGCTCGCTCGCTCGCTCTCCTCTTTCTTTCCTACTCCTTGGGAACTGGTTCAACCACCGTACAACCAGCTCATCTGCCTCTGGCATTAGAGGAGATACTGGAGCCGGAGGAGGAGGAGAGCGGAGGCGGGCGGGCAGGAGCTGCGGCGGCGGCGACAGCGCACAGCCGGCCCGCGCCGCGCCGCCCAGGAAGCCCATGCCCGGCCCGTGCCGCCCGGGGCTTGCTCATGAGGCCTCTGCCGAGCCGGAGCAGGAAAAACGGCGGCATCTCCCTGGGACTCTTCGCCCTCTGCCTGGCCGCAGCCCGCTGTCTGCAGAGTAAGCGCGGGGCATGGGGCATGGGGCACAGGGCGCGGGGAGCGGGGCGCGGGGCGCGAGTGCCTGTGTCGCGGCTGCCGGCCGCGGGCCCTCGCCCACCTCGCCTGGCCTGGCTGGCAGCGAAGGAGCCGCTTCCCGGCGGGCTGGGCGCGGCCCGAGCCGGCTGCCGATCGCTCCCGGAGGGACCTAGGCAGAGCGGAGGCTCCCCGGGCTGGCACCCGGAGCCGCTTCGAGGTGCCCGCCCCGCGCCCCGCCCGGCCGGGCGTTATCAGAGCCGGAAGCCGAGCGGGAGAGAACCGGCTCCGGGCCCGGTGGATCGCCGCCTCTTCTGCAATGTTTTTTATTTCTTTTTCCTGGAATAACCAGACCCCAGGGCGCACGAGACCCGTCATCCTCCCGCGGACTTCCCTGGTCACCAGCACGTTCTGTAGGTACCCCCATCCCTCAGACGCACCCACGGCAGACTCTCTTGAGGAAAAAGCGCTCTGAAGGTCTGGGCTGGGTGTTGGGACCTGAATTCCTCGGGCCGGAGGTGGTCCTCGGCACTCTGCGCTGAGGGGAGGGCTTTGGGGGGTCGGCTCTAGACTCCCTCGGCGTGGTGAGTCTAAATGTAACCCACAGCCCCACACCCTCCCATCGACACAAACAGATTTCAATGCCGTTTTACTCTCATTTAATCCTTATCATTCTCATTTTACAGACTAATCAACCAAGGTTTAGAGAGTGACCAATGCAGGGCCACTGGAGGTGGGAAGACCTCTAGTAAGAGCCAACACTTGTTAAGAAAGTGTGCATTCAACATCCCTGGACTTTACCAGACTTCTATCGTTAACCCTCAGGGCAACCCTATGAAATAAGCGCTACTCTTATCCCTGTTTCACATGAGGAAACTGAGGCACAGAGAGGTTGTTACTTGTATAAAGATGCCAGCTAGTCAGTGATGAAGTTAGGATTCAAATCTGGGCAATCTAGCACTCTTGACCTTTACGCCTCTGGCTGGCACCCAGCTTTGAAGACTGCAAGTCTCAGAAACCCAGAAAGACTGGGATGGGACATGTGCCTCTGGCTGTCTGTGGAGCTAGAAATAGGCAGCTGTTAGTCCATCAGGTTGGTGGGTGTGTTTGGCGTTGCAGTGACCTATTTTATTGTCGTTCATCCCTCCAGCATGTTTCCAACCACCATTCTTATGCAACATCTGTACAGATGTTCCTGATGTTCGGGAGCCAGCCATTTTCCACAGCGTAAAATTCACTTATTTATTCACTCATTCACGGTACCCTCTGCCTGCAGGAAGCAGGCCACACTGGGTACTGGGGATGCCATGGTTCACAGTCTTGTCCCTAGACAAGCAAACAAGAGTGCCAGCTTGGAGCGGCAAGCTCTGAGAGGCGGGCGGTGTCAATGTTCTGGAAGCCCTAGAGGCTCAGAACCTGGATTTGGGGGACCAGGGCAAGCCTCCCAAAGGGAGCCGCGTCTGACAGATGGACAGGAGCAGCCAGGGGAATGGGACAGAGGGAATGCAGGGTGTCCTCGACAAAGAGGAGGACAGGTAAAAGTTTTGCCCTTCTCCATCGAATATCTGACTCCAACAGAGCTGTCAGGTCCAGGGAGGCAGGCATTCTTTTTTGGCTCTGGGTTCCTAGCACTTGCCCAGTGGCAGCTGAGGTCTACCCCTTAAAAGGTAGTGAATGGATGTGCACCTGCCTGAATGAGGCCTGTGCTTCAGGGCCGGCCCTGATGATGTAGAGTGGGCCTCCTCCCTCTCACCAGCTCCCTCTAGTCTTGGCCTCTTCAGCCTCTGTCAAAACCATCCACCCAGAAAGTCTAATATGCATCATTTACGCTGAAGTCTGTTAAAGCATGCCCCCAAAACACCAACACCCTGTCTGTGAAGCCTTTTCTCTGTAAGTGGACTATTATGGACTGAATGTTTGTGTCTTGCTGAAATTCATATGTTGAAGCCCAAACCCCCAGTGCAATGGTATTTGGAAGTGGGACCTTTGGGAGGTAATTAGCGTTAGATGAGATCATCATGATGGGGCCCTCATGATGGGATTAGTGTTCTTATAAAAAGAAGAGACCAGAGGTCTCTCTCTTTCTGCCATGTGAGGGCACAGCAAGATGGCAGCTGTCTGCAAGGCAGGAAGAGAGCCTGCCAAATCTGCCAGCACCTTGATTGTGGACACCCCAGCCTCCAGAACAATAAGAAATTAATGTCTGTTGTTTAAGCCCCCCAGTCTATGGTATTTTATTATAGCAGCCTGAGCTAAGACAGAAATCAGTACTGAGAAGTGGAATGCTGCTGTAACAAAAACCTAAAACTCTGGAAGCAGCTTTGGAGCTGGGTAAGGGCTAGAGGCTGGAGGAGTTTTGAGGTGCATGTGAAAAATGTTCACTCTAAGGGCAACGCTGGGGAGGTTTTAGATGCAAATGAGGAACATCTTATTGGACAGTGGAGAAAAGGTGATCCTTGTTAAAAAGTGGCAAAGAGCTTGGCTGAACTGTGTTCGTGTTCTAGCGTTTTGTGGAGGGTAGAACTTGAGAGTGATGAAATTAGATATTTAGCTGAGATTTCTTTCCTTTTTTTTTTTTAAAGATTTTATTTTTCCTTTTTCTCCCCAAAGCTCCCTGGTACATAGTTGTATATATATTTTTTAGAGGTGGGTCCTTCTAGTTGTGACATGTAGGATGCCACCTCAGCGTGGCTTCATGAGTGGTGCCACGTCCACGCCCAGGATCTGAACCGGTGAAACCCTGGGCCCGTGCAGCAGAGCTCGCGAACTTAACCACTCAGCCACGGAGCCGGCCCCAGCTGAGGAGATTTCTAAGCAAAGAGTCGAAGGAACAGCTTGGTTCCTCCTGACTGTTTATAGTAAAATACAAAAAGAGAGAAATGAATTGAAGAAGGAATTGTTAAGCAAAAAGGAGCCAGAACTTAAAGACTTGGAAAATTCTCACCTCGTCTAGATTACAAAAAGTGAGAAAGCATGCTCAGAAGAGAACACCAACAGTGTGGCCAAACAACCATTTGATAAGATTAGTATGGGTGTGAGCCATGGACCTAATCAGCCACCCCAGCAGAAACACTGCCAGTTTGAACTGAAGGGGATGAAGACAGAATGAAGTGAAGGAAGGCTGTCAGACTTGTTAGATCCTACAGCACTGAGCACACACCTGTTCAGCTGTGAATGTGCGCTGTTTTTCAAGACAAGGCAAGAAAGACTCTGTAGGTGATTCAGTGATCATCAGAGCTGCCTCCTTTGTTTCAAATGGGGGGGCTGTTGCCTTGGCTTCAACAGGCCAGATGGAGGCCCCACAGAGCCTCCAGGGCCAGGGCTGCCCAGAAGAGCCTCTGGGGACACACAACTGCCCAGCAGAGTTGCAGGGGTGGGGGGCCGGATCTCTGCCTCAGTAGGTCCTGAAGGCAGGGCCGCCGCTTCAGTGGGTCCGGAAGGGAGAGTGTTAAACCAAGGAAGATTGCTCTTGAGCCTTAAGATCTAATGGTATTTACCTTGCTGGGTTTTGGACTGACTTGGAACTCATCACCCCTTTTCCCTTTTGATTTCTCCCTTTTGAAACGGGCATGCCTATCCTCTCTTGCCACATGTCCTACCACTGCATTTTGGAAGCACGTAACTTATCTGGTTTCGCAGGTTCCTAGTTGGAGGGTAATTTTGCTTCAAGATGAATGTACCTCCAGTCTCACCCATGCGTGATTTAGATGGTGTTTAGATAAGACTTTGGACTTTAGAGATGAAGCTGAAACCAGTTAAGACTTTTGGAGCTGTTGGGATGGAATGAATGCATTTTGCATGCAGGAAGGACATGAATTTTGGGAATCTAGGAGCAGAATGTTATGGTCTGCATGTTTATTTCCCCCTGAAATTCATAATAAAGCCCTAACTCCCAATATGATAGTATTTGGAGGTGGGGCCTTTGAGAGGCAATTGGGTTTAGATGAGGTCATGGGAGTGGGACTTCCATGATAGGATTACTGTCCTTATAAGAAGAGGAAGAGATCAGAGTTCGCCTTCTCTCCACCATGTGAGATAGGCAAGAAGGTAGCCATCTATAAGCCAGGAAGAGTGCCCTCATCAAGAATGGTTAAGCCCCCCAGCCTATGGTATTGTGTTATGGGAGCTGGAGCTAAGACAGGGACTTACAGGTTTATCTCCTAGAAAGCTGGCAGGACTCCCGTGGCAGGCCAAGGTGGGGCCCCGTCTGGGACCTTTGTTCATTTCCTTTCTCAGCTCTCTACATTGTAAGGTAGCCATCAAGCCTGCTGGTATCCTGTGCTCCCTCTCATTTGGAAGCGGATGATCCAAGACTAAAGCAGGAAAGTTTAGTTGATGGCCTGGGGCCAAGTCAGCTTGCTTCTTGTGTTCCAACCCCGCTTTCTAAGAAGCAGGCCTCTCTCCCAACACACATGGACACACACACACACGCATGAATACACACACAAGTGACCTTTAACATCCCCGCTTAACAGGGTGGGGCCAGGGCTGGAGGAACTGACCCCACTGAGTCACTCATGGCCCAGTGCCCAGGAGAACAGAGGAACAGAGTAGGGGCTGAGTCTGGGTCTGGGGAGGAAGGGGACAGGCTGGAAGCTGCCACAACCAGAAGGGAGCTGTGGGTTCTAGGCTGAGCTGGGGGTGGGATGAGTAGGGAGGGGAAGGAGAGACAGTGTAGGAGGAATCCCCTTGAGGCCCCTGGGGAGACGCCCAGATCTGTCACTCCAGGACCAGGCCCCACTGGTGCCCTGGGGCTGCCATCTATGTGGCACTCTTTTACTGAGCACCTACCATGCTTAGGCTCTTCCCTGGCCCCTCACGAAACAGAGACAAATGAGGTGTGCTCTCTCTCTGCACTCTCCTTTCAGGTTTATAGACAGTGGTTCTGCAAACATATAAATGTACCCACCAAAAAAGTAGTGTTTGGGTGCGCTTTGAAAAAAATGCAATTATACTGTACTTTTTATGAAGCAACTTAGTTTTTAC